CCACACAATCTCATTATACGAAATACACTCATTCAATAGCTCACCATATTAACAGTGCGGATAGCACCGTTCCATTCTAAATGAGAATGACATGTATTAATAATGTTTTAATTAAAGATTCCGAACTTTAATTAAATTCATTATGAACAATGTTTTTTATTATTATCCTTAAACACTATCATCTCGTATATAACATTTATATACTATGTTTAAGGTTACATAAATAATCACATAATTTTCATTTGATATTCATAAAATATTCATAAATATATGCACATAAAATGATTAATAAACTCTTTTATTATTTAAATAATAAATATTCTATTACATCTTATGCTTCTATGACACTATTCCCAACATCGACAACTTATGTTGAAGAGAGGAGTTTTCTCTAGTCAGACTTTCAGTCAGCTCGTTGTTAGTGTGCTGAGGTGCTTTCCCGGTTTCGGACCTCAGGCGTGCGTTTGTCTCTCTAATAGGATAGTATTGTACTAAGATGACTATTTATTAGTATTTTAATGAAACACAATTTTCCTTTCAAAAAAAAAAGAGAGATGTACATACAAAGGACTGAATAACAAATAAGGAATAATTCAAATAAGAAAACGAGTGATTTTAGGGAGAAAAATGAGTAGAAATGAATAAAATAAAAAGAACAATCTTCATATTAGTATAGAAAATTTAAAAGAGTCATTTGAAAGGTGAAAATTATGGTTTTGTTATGACGTTTAGAATTGACCGATATTTTAGTAAGGAGAAAGGAGGCAAATACCTTTTAAAGTGCATTTAATTTATTAATGAAATTTTCAGTTTAAAAAAAAGTGAACGAGTCTAGATTTTTACCCCTTAATCTTGATTATTTTATTTTTTAATTAAATAACTATATTGATTAAAAAGATATTAATTAATAATAATAGGTAAAACTTCAGATTTTAAGGGTAAATTCAACGATTTTCTCCGTGAAAAATTGAACCATAAATGTTCTCTTTACATCACTACATCAGACCTACCACATTATTATATATACTAAAAGAAAGGCATTGTTCACTATTCACACATGCACAATTCACCATTCACTGTAAAGCAATACTCCCAAAATTCCGCTTCAATCCCTTGTCCTTTGAGTGTGAATTGTCAATTTTGCCCCTTTTTTACTTCCCTTTTCCTTTCCTTGTGCATGGGCTTTTGCGTCTTTCGCTCTTGGATTGCCACGTGTCGATGCCCTGCCAGCCTAAGAAAAAAGTGGCGGGGCCACCACTACGAAGCTGCCCTCTTCCCCCCCGCTGAACGCGCTACTCTTGCATGTGCTTTTCACGTGCGAATAATAGCCATTGAAATTTTTGATCGGATGGTTTCAAATCATTTCCAATTTTTTTTTTAAATTTTAAATTTTTTATTATATTTATTTACTATTTTGAATTGATTTGGAGTTCAATTTTGTCCGTTTTACCACCTTTTTTGTCAAATTTTTTTATATTACTTAAATAAAAAAACCTTAAATAATACAATAAAATTAAATAAAAATATGCTAAAGTAAAATCCAATAACACCAAATTAAATAAAAAAAATTGCACAAAACAAAATAGAATTAATTTAAAATACAACAAAATAAGTTAGATTATTTGCCCCAAGATTTCCCCTAGTTATTATTTTTATTTTTTTTATGTCGTCTTTTTTACTTCTTTTTTTTAAATAATTTGTGTTAGCTATTATTTTAAATTAATCATGTGCGCATAGCGACGTTTGAGACTAAAACTAAATAAAGACTAAAAAAGAAAAAAATTGAAAAAGAAATGTGTTGATTTGTGGTCCGATTTTATCCATTTCAATATTATTTTGCGCCAAATTTTCAAACCCTCTCAAATGAAAATAATATAAATAATTTGAATGAAAAATAAAATTAAATAAAAATACACTAAAATAAAATAAAGTCGCACATTCTTAAATAAATTAAACTAGAAATTACTTCGGTGGTTGGAAGAGCAGCACAAACATTGATCAAAAAATCATACTCTACATTAAACAATTGATGAGCATTAACAATTGTTGAAGGCTTTACTGATCCATTTGTAATTCCACCAATCACTGCTCAGTTTAAAGTGTTAGTTTCCGAAACGATTTCGGAGGTAGAATCATGTATTTAGCGGATCGCGTATAACAACATTTTCATAAAACTTTGAGATATTTTATATATTACATTAATTTATGCACGAATAAATTAATCCACTCTCTCACTTATCCTATATGGTCTCCCTGTGGTAGGTGCAATTTTACAGATAAAGAATAAGGTAAAATTTTATCCTGCAGTCCAATTTTAACTTCAATTCAAATTTCAATTTAAGTCAAACTTAAATCAATTTAAATTTCAAATTGGACAACTTATTAAATAAGTTAATTAGATAACTATGGAGAGTAAGCAATTTGAATCCTAAAGGGATTCACACTGTGATGTGCGTTCACACCATGTGTACACTTTCACATGTGTGTTTTAAAATTTAAATTTAAACTTAAACTTAAATAATCACATTATTTCATTTATTACTAATTCTCAATTAATTATTCTTAAGTGTTTTATTTTAGAATTCCATAATTCTAAAATTCCCATTTTGTCCTTAGTGTCTTATAAAATTACAAGGACGGCGCGGGGACTAATGGACCTATAATTCTGAACTCCAATAAAATTCATAATTAATTAAACTCTTTAATTAATTAATTAATTCTATTAATTTCAAAAGTTATTCCACTATAAACTTGGAATTACACTCTCATAATTATAGACATAAATTACTTCTAAACTGTGAAGTGTCCATTTGATATAGTCATTACATATAGATCAATTCTCCCTAAATAATTCATAATTAGAGCTAGGTGAAATCCGTTAACTTCCCAATTACATCTTTATCCTTGAGTACCATTGATTCTTTAATGGACATTGATTTATTAAACAAATTCATGAATCGAAGTGCTCCTACTGGTTTAAGTACCGAATCAACCCTCAAGAGAATTATTTATCTACTTCTTTCTTAAGAAGGAATGAATTCCATCTCGTATAATAACATTCCCGGCTACTCACTTCATCATGTCTTCAAAATACAAGGAATATGACTCAGGATCTCAGAATCTGTACTGAGTTAATCAAAAGACACAAATCCATAAATAGGAGTCTACTAAGAACTCAGGATTAAGATCATTCTATATATGACCATCGGTAGACTCAATTAGAATTTCTATATTCAACAGAAATTATCAAAAATTCATATTGTGTCTGTGTCCCTGTTCCACATAATATCATTATACATAATACATTCATTCAATATCTCTCTATATTAACAGTGCAGATAACACAGTTCCATTCTGAATGAGAATGACATGTATTAGTAATGTTTTAATTAAATATTCTAAACTTTAATTAAATTCATTACGGTCATTGTTTTTATTATTATCCTTAAATGTTATCCTCTCGCATAGAACACTTATATACAATATTTAAGGTCACATAAATAATCATGAAATTTTCAGTGATATTCATAAAATATTTAATAATATATGCACATAAAATAATGAATAAACTCTTTTATTAAATAAATAATAAATATTTTATTATATTTTATGTTTCTCGGACACCATTCCCAACAAAAAGGACAAACAAAAATCTTGCAAGTTTATTTTCAACAAAGGGGAGCACAAATGATTACAGTTGTTTCAAAAATATTTAAAGATGTCCATCTTTCAATGCTACTGTCACAAATATCAACTGTCACAATAATAGATCCAAAAATACCAGACCCAAAAAGATTGACCACAAGATAAGACATATTTATCAATTGTCAATAAAAACAACATTTCTTATTTTGAATGTATATTTTAACAATCTTTAATCAATTCAGTTCTGAACTAAAGGAAACAGACCCACCTAAAAAAAGTCCAAGAACTAAGTAAAATAGCCACTTCTAAATTCTTTGATCTACACTCCATATAATTAAATATTTTCAACTTTCTTAATTATTATTTTTTTTAAAATTTATATTTTACAATTAAAAGGAACAAAAGAAAAAATGAAAACAAAAACTATAATACATTATCAAAAAATTTTAACCGAAATATTATATAAATATATCTATATATATGTATATATAAATTAATCTTATATTATAAATTTTTTTAACTTTTTATATAATAGAACAATATTTTTTGCAGCAACTCGTAAATTTTTAATTAGTGAGTTTTTTAAAGTTCCGTTCATTTCACCGATTTGAGTTTAAAATTTAAATTTTGTTATAGTAAAAAATTATTAAAAATAATCACATTTAATTTTTTTATGTAATAAAAAACTCTCATATAAAATTATATTTTAACTTAAATTAAAAACTCAAATAAAAAAATTAAACAAATTCTAAAAGAGAAAAAAACTGCTATATCAAAGCACACATGGGAAAGGGATCGTAACTTGAGCTTTTAATAAAGCAATGAACAGCCACACTACTACATTACCACAAAGGTCCACAACAACGCATATAAAGCAGACACATCATTAAACGGACCAGTCATCACTCCACACGTGTCCACGAAGAGGTCCACATCAACGTGCCGGCAAGTCAGTTTAAATGAATGAAAATATGCAAATAAAAAAATAATAACAACGACAATAATAATATGAAAAAATTCATATTTAATTCTGAACTCTTTTAAAAAACATTTGCCGCTTTGTTCAAACTTCAAAGTTCAAACTTTTTATTCCATCAGCAAGTAATTCTTTTTCTCTGTTCAATTCCAGTTATTTTTTGAGTATTTTTTCTTAAAAAGATTAAAATTTTGTTTATTTTATTAATTTAAATTTAAAATTAAAATTTTATTTTAATAATTTTTTTTAAAAAATAATCATATTTTATTATTTTATTATAATAAAAAAATTTTATATAAAATTATATGTCAGCTTAAATTAAAACCAATGAAATCAATAAAAAAAAAAAAACTCGACGTCTCCTGGCCGGTGTCCCCACACCCACGCCACAATAAACAAATTTCCTTTCACCCCCTCTCTCTCTCTCTCCCTCTAAACAATTCGTTTCCGGTTTCTCTCTCTACCACCGAAATCGAAATCGAATTTGGAATCTGTTTCTCTCTCCTTAATCATCGCCTCGATCTTCTCTCTCTTCCCCTTTTGGTTCAGCCCTAGCTTAGCTGACCCTCAATCATCCCGTCGCAGCGGCCAGCGGGTGTTTTTACGAATCCTCGTACCCAAACACTCGGCCTCGGCTTTCGTGGAATTTTCTCGGAATCCTCGAACTCGAATTTTCTAAGGAAAAATTTTCGTCGGAGCCGAGACGAGATGAGCTTTCGGGATCTGGAAGCTGGGCGGGGTTTGGGCGGCTCCTCGAGGCGAGAGCTCTCCAATGGCAGCAGACAGGACCCAACCCAGGCCGTGGCTTCTGGAATATTCCAGATCAACACCGCGGTTTCTACCTTCCAAAGGCTCGTCAACACCCTCGGTACCCCCAAAGACACCCCCGAGCTCCGCGAGAAGCTGTGAGTGCCGATTTTCTTGACGATTATCCTGTTTCTTGATGTTTTTTCTTTTTTAAGTTTTTTTGTGTCTGACGAATACGAATTGCCAATTTTGGTCCTTTTTGGGTCGTTGTAAGAGCTGAATTCAATAGTTTTGGTGTCTATTTGTTCCAGATGGTAATCGTGTGTATTGTGTGAGATATGGTTCTTGTTTGGCTAGCCGTTTCGAGTTTCGACGTATTTTTTAAAATTTGATTCGAAATGTGCTTTTGAGTAGACAATAGAATTGTGTTTTCAGCAAATAATAACAATTGATTCTGAGAATTGTTATGAGGAATTAGACATATGGGCAATGGCAGTGGAAGTCTCAAAAGTGCGCAGAGTTTTTCGCCTTTTATTTTCTTTCCAACAATTAGCTCTCTCATATTTGAAAACTTGTGACTTCTTATGCAGTGGCGTGTTTTTAATTTCATTGATATTTACTTATCTGCTTTGACTTTTTCTAAAGGCATTTGCAATAAATTTGTTTCTGAAATTCATATTCTCTTTCTATCTACAAAAGAAACTTTTCTTTGGTGTTCCCAGAATCCCTATATAAGTAAAGAAGAGTTGATGAATTATAGAGAATTGCGCAAAGTATGCTTGTTATAGAAGAAGCACTTCATCATTTGACTTCACTAAAGCTGGGTTAGTTTGACACCTCAATTGACTTTGGTGAATGTCTCATATTAATTCTTCAAGATAGAAGTCTATTCTTCAAACTTTTAAGATCCATGGTAGAAACTAGAAGCTACAAAACATCTACTGTTGGCGAAGAGTTTCTGTGTATTAGATGGAAGTGACAAATAGCCCAACATGTAATGTAGACTGCAAAGCACACTAGGATAAAGCTGCATGCTGCTGACACCGATCCAGAAGAAAGATCTTATGGTTTCTTGAAGGGCTTTTTGTTATTGCGTGGACCAAATGATTATTGAAGATCTGTTTGGTTTGGTTTGGATTAGACAATTGATTGTGCACTTGACATGAGATTAGCAAGTTCTTGAGTGCCTAGCTAAGGCTAATGAGTGCACGTAGTAAAATAGAAGTTTAAGCATTAGGGACTCTATCCTCCCCTTTCTTTACTCCTGCTTGGTCCTATTTGTAGGTGGTTGGTTTAGCCTTGCAATACTATTTTCCGATTTTATTACTTTAATATTTTGTGCTGTGTGCATCCTGCTTTCTACTGGCCGTCAACTAAACAGTCCACTTATTCATTCATTCATTCGTCCCACTGCAGCAGTTTAAATGTGACTTTTGCCAACTTGCAGGCACAAGACAAGGCTACATATTGGGCAGTTGGTGAAGGATACTTCAGAGAAACTTAAACAAGCTAGTGATAGAGATCATCATGGTGAAGTTAATGTAAGAACACCCACACATGTACACATATATTTATTACATAGACGCACACATTCTCTACAAGATGCGGAAGTTCTCTTTTAATTTTAATCATTGAGGAATTAATCGTCTTTCAACTTTTATTGCAGGCTAGCAAGAAGATTGCAGATGCTAAACTTGCAAAAGATTTTCAAGCTGTCTTAAGAGAATTTCAGAAGGCCCAACGACTTGCAGCTGAAAGGGAAACAGCATATACTCCTTTTGTTCCCCAAGCAGTTCTTCCTTCCAGGTAAATTTGGTCAAAACGCCTTCCATAGTATAATCCTTGCCTATTGTTTTTGTGTTGAATTTAGCGAAATTTGAAGGAAATATATTTTTATTCCTTGCATATTGTTGGCAGTTCCAGTATGTGTGTCTATATATTTTTGACTCGTCAAGATTTTGGTTCTTTACAGCTATACCGCCAGCGAGCTTGATTTGAATTCAGATAAATCTTCAGAACAGCGTGCTGCTCTTGTGGAATCTAGGAGGTGAGTTCTATTGGTATTTTATCTGTTGCGCAAGTTATATAAAGAGAGACTTGTTCCACCGCAGCGTGCTTTACCTATGTTCTGATGAGTGCTATTCCTCATTATTGGATATTTTGTGGTACTGAAATTGTTCTTAATGTACCGAATTAGGAGTCCTATTCCTTTTAACGTTGGACAAGAAAAAAGAAGAGTAAAGTCTCATATTAAGAACCTTTTTAGAGAATAGTACCAAACTGAAAGTTTTGCACCTTTTCATTGTGATGTCATCCACGTTGAAGTTGCACAAAAATATGGTAAACTTCAAATATGGGGATTCTTGGTTCTCCAATACATTGAGAGTTGACTGTTGACCATCTCTACTTTCCGCTTGTTGCTTCTATAAATCATAATCATCTAAGTGATTATTGAAATGTACTTTCTTCACCCAACTGTTTTTTAAGTTCTTATTGAGGATGGACGTTAAACTGTACACTATTGTTTTTCAATGATTTTGGCTGCAGACAGGAGGTTTTGCTGTTGGACAATGAAATTGTCTTCAACGAGGCTATAATTGAGGAACGAGAACAGGGAATACAAGAAATCCAGCAGCAAATTGGCGAAGTGAATGAAATTTTTAAAGATCTTGCTGTGCTAGTTCATGAGCAGGGTGCGATGATTGGTGAGTCAGTTTTCTCTTTCAATGTCACTATTATTCATGAGGCTTGTATTTTCTTATCTCCAGCATATCTATTTTGCAGATGATATTGGATCCAATATTGAGGGTGCTCAGGCTGCCACTGCACAGGGGAAATCTCAACTTGTAAAGGCTGCGAAGACCCAAAGATCGAATTCATCTCTGGTAATTCATTTACACTAGATACTGATCGAATTCAACTTGTAAAGGCTATTCTGTAGATAGCATCTGCTCATGACATGTATATGTGAATGCAATACATGCGATATAAATACATACTTCCGTAGGTGTTTTTTGTTTCTTTGTATATTACATAGGTAAGAATCATAGAACTGGCAGTAGGACACTTACAATGGTGAAATTCATTATTCTGTATCCAGCCTTTAACCTTCCATTTCTAGACTTTTCACAAATCCAGTTTATGATGGGTCTGTGATTATTATCAGTGGGTGTGGGTGGAAAACAGCACGCATTTCCATAACTGAATCTGTTGCATCTTGTGAAAATATTTCAGTAGTCTGCAACGTTACAACAGAAATTGTTATATCGCTCCTTTCAATTTTTCTAGTCTGAAATTCTTGGCCTTAATTTGTTTTTCTGCAGACCTGCTTGCTCTTGGTGATATTCGGAATCGTGCTACTGATAGTTATTATAGTACTTGCAGCGTAAGATTGATTGGGATTCAATCGAATGAAAATCCAAAATCTTCTGAACCACAGAAGGAGTCTTTGCTAATCTGTCTGACGTGTCGTCCCCGTCCTAGGGGACGAGCTTTGATTGCAGTTTGTCGCTTCTAGTCCAAGTTAGTATATAATATGGTGAATCCTGTGCGAATGGTTGTTGTGGGGTGGGATGTCCGGTTCTTTTCTATAAGTTGGATTTTTTTGGAATTTGAGGTTGTGTTATGGGCTTGTTATATAATTGGTGTTTTACTTCAGTAATATAATAAAATTCATAATTCTTTTGGTATGTGCAATTAATTTCCATTGAAGGTCCCCTGTTTTTCTGGCCATTTCCAAAGGACGTGGAGTTGCATCTCTTTTTCATCTCCATTCAATTCAAGAGTTCTTGCGTGTTTCTACAAATGGACAAATTCTTTTCTTTTCTCAATTTCACACAATCTTTGTACTCCCCCTTCAACTACTTTGTTGACGAATTTCACAATAATAGAATTACATGTTCTACTTTAGCTGATCCATTTGGATGGATGGCGAGGAAGGATGATTCATTCACATCGACACAATTGTTTGTAAGATTTTAAAAATCTAAAAATATTACAAATCATAGCATGAAACTGCTATAGCTCTTTCGTAAAGTCTTTTTCCAATATTGTTTTGAAGGGTTATAGAAGGTGCATAACTCCTTTCTAAGAGCTGCTTACATTCTCTTGGAGGTACTTTTACCTCTTCGAGCTCCGTGGTATTATGCTGAGAGGTGGATCCGACTCGTGTATGGAGAATAAGGCGAAACGGCTCCATAGAGCTCATTTTGCTCTAGCTGAAAAGGATCCATTCTCACAATCTTCTGCATCCCCTCGTCAATCCCCGAGCTGCGCCTGCTTGTCGCGTAGGGGCGATGAGTCGCTCGATAGTAGAGAAAGCTTCATGATCGAAGTCTCTTTACCAAAAAAGATCACCAGTCCCTTGTTCGGGATTGTTTATGTAGAAAAGTGCTCAAACACCAAACAACAATAATACTTTGCTTAATTGAATTCAAAAATAGAATAAAACCTCAAAGTCTAATTCTTATTAATTCTCAAGCCGGGCAAAGGTGTACAAATGCTTGCGTATTCCCTCTATTTATAAGCACTTAGGTGCACTTGTGATTACATTCACTTAATCTTAACCGTATGTTATTAATCGTCTAATCTTGATTGATCGTTGGTTATTTATGTCGTGGCCTCGGCCTCGTTCTTTTTTATCCTCATTTCGTTTCAAATCCCTGAAGTTCGCTTTGCCTTCATCTGCTTGAAACTCGTTCCTTACTTCTTGTAGTGTGATGTCGTTCATGCTCTTTAAAATACTACCATTTTATTCGTTATTAAAACTTATTCCCACAAGAACAAAACAAAGAAATCCTATATGTATATAAAAAGTGTGAAAGCAGGCAGGTGTCAATTGACCTGCCAGCTTCACCAGCCTGCTTACGTTTTTTTTTTGTTGTCATTTTCTTTCTTTTCTTTCCCTCTCTCACTCTATATAGTTGCTGCTTGGAATGCTAAGTTTGAGTGCTTTACTTTAATTAAATTATAAATCTCATTATCTTTAATGTAAATAATGAAACTGCCATTCCATAGTTGTTGTTGCTCATGATCCCCATGTTTGATTTTGTTTGTTTGTTTTGTTTTCTTTGGTTTTTAAATGGCACACATTTAATTAATCTAATCCTTATTCTTTTATTTAATATATATATAATACTTATATTTCTTTCAGCTCTTTTTGTTATTTCTATTAGAATTCGTCTTTCATTTGTTTTTATCCTTATTTTCTGTTCCTTTAATTTGTTAAGCCTCAATTATCATTATGTAATTTATATAAGAGTTTTTACTAAGGATATGAGTAGGCAATATTTTTTCTTAACTTAAAAATCTCTTTTGTGTATAACATATAAGTATATTCAAAGAGAGTTGGGAAAAAAGTAAGAAAATAGATTGAAGAGCAGTTAATGCAGTGAAAGCATAACAAAATAATAAAAGAGATAATAAAAGGAGGGATTGAGGAGAAATAAAAAAAAAATATATATATAAAATGATAGTGTTTTAAAATTTTGATTTATATAAATTTTTATATTTTTGAGAAATATATTAATTGTTAATTCAGTGTTTTAGCCTTCCATTGGTAAGAGGGACAAAATATTAAATTAAACTTTGTAAAAGTTTATCATTTTTTTTAGCTAAAAGATTACTAAAGTATAATAATAATAAAAATTATATAACTAATCAAACATTACATACAATGCAACATAAATGCTTCTATGTCATTTAAAAACAAAAGGCACGTGCCTCTCCTTACTAGTGAATAGGAAAATTGTAAAACCGCCACAACAACATCACTTGAGTCGTCCAACGTTTCTTTTTTTTTTTCTCTGTTCTTTTTTTTTTTTTTTAATCTTATAGCACTTCTAGAAGTAAAACAGTATATTTACAAAACTTACTGAAATAAATAGTTAGCCATGTTGATGCAGTCGAATTTCCCCGTAACCTATAAAACGTTTATAGTCTATCAAAACAAAGGTTTCAAGAAAGAAATATAAGGGAATATTTACCTTTTTATACCTTATGTTTTTTATTTATTAAAAAATTATACTTTCAATTTTTTATTTCACTAAATGTATATTTTTAAATTTGATTTAACTAGTTTGTTACCCGCGCTTTACTATGGGTAATATTTTTGTATTATATAAAAGGAAAAATAATTTATATATATATATATATGTGTGTGTGTAAATAAATATGTACAATATAGTAACATAAATTTGTTTACATTGTACAAAGGCATAAACATTGGTGCAATATTATATCTATCATATTAGTTGTAACACATTTTAAGTAATGCTTTGTAAAAATAAGATGTTGATTTGTCTAAAAATCACCAGTGACTTGAACCAAAAAAGGAGAAGTAAAGATGTTAACATTCTACATTCTTAAAATGCTTGAGAAGCCGACCACATAAGGCATAAAAAACAGAAACAAAAGTGTTCATATACAACTGAAAATATTAAAAAATTTAACTATAATGACTGGATCAGAGGAAGACAAAGGAGGAAAAAGAAAAAATGAAGATGGCAGAGAGGACAGAAGTTTGAGAAAGGAGGAGATGTTAACATTCTACATTCCTAAAATGATTGAGAAGCCCACGACAAAGACAAACGGAATGATAAAAAGACAGACACAAAAGTGTCCATGTATGACTCAAAGTATAAGTAGACTAAAATACCTAGCACCCACACATAGAAAAAGGAAATGAAAAAGGCAAAGCCGTCACTCCATGCAATCAGTCATTAAATGAATCACTCCACTGTACAAGAAAGAGTAAAATATATGTAGATGAATAGTGAATGTCAGCTCTCCTTTAGTATATGGAATAGTAATAATGATTTATAAATTTTTTTGAGCCAGACAAAGGCATGGTAAAGGGAAGACAATTGGAACAGAATAGGAGAAGCATGAATAAGTAAATTGGGAGAACAGGAGAAGCATGAATAAGTAAATTGGAACTTTAAGGCAAGGCAAAGAACAAAGAAATAGGTTGAGTAAAAACTAAAGTAGGAAAGACATAGCCACAACATTTTTTAGACAAATCAAACAAACTTAAAAACATGAAAATTGAGTATGATCATCATCGCCAATATACATGTACAAGTTTTTTTATGAATTAGGAAATGATAAAGAAAACACTTAATATACCATAATTACCTATTTATGAACGAAAATATTCACTAAAATGTAAGATAAGCTTATATGGATGCAGATAATCCTGAACAAACTTCACACTTTAATAATATTATAAAAAATTACACCATCTATCATCAGCAACATTTATTAAAAATGTATGAATATAAGTTTTTAGGAACACTTCATTCATGTAAATAACAGCCCGAATAGGAGAGGCACGCCAACCAAGGCCGAATCTCGAAAAAAAGGATAAAGCAATAGGAATGCAAAGCAATAGATGATAGGAAACTTGAAAAAATGGATATAAATAAGTGAGTGGAAAAGCAAAGAAACATGAAAGAAAGGAGAATAAAAAGGGCAAAATAAAAGACCAAGGAAAAAAAATAGATATTACAGTATTTTTATATAATGATCATGACTCGGGTATTGAAAAAGGAAACATTTTATTAAAATGCTATTTAAAGAAAAATTTATTGAAAAAGATATGGAAAGGAAATCAATAAGTATAGATCACTTACTTATGGAACAAAGAATGAAATAAAAATGTATTACTAATATTTGCTAACAATAGGATTAAATTTTAATCAACCTTATAGATTGACAGTATCTATCAATACAGTGACAAACCACATATGAGAAAAGATAAAAAGACGTAAATAACCAATATTATCAATGGCATAGCAAATTGATATATTTAGTATCAGCAACAGTCATGGGAACAAAAAATTGTATTGATATTTCAATAAGAAAAAATGCAGAGAAAAAGAGAAAGGAGAAAAGAAAAAAAATAAACAAAAAAAGAAAAGGTGACCAAAAAAGGGGGAAAAAGTGCCTAAAAAATTTGTAAAACATAAACATCATAGTATTTTTATACAGGAATCATGGCTCAGGTATTAAATGTTTTTATCAATGTGTGATGAACAAATAAACTTATATGCTTCTAGCTAGTTTGTGGCTACCTACTATGGGCAACTGCATAAAAGGCATGAATATTAATAAGATATTTGGACCATCACACAAATTATAGTCTGTATGTTTCAAAGAATAACCAGACAGAGTAAGATATAAAGTTGTCCAAGAACTACCAGTAGATGAAAAGGAAAAGAAAAAAAATAGGGATCCTCTTGCTTATACGAAGCAGAGAGAAAACAAAAAACAGGTAAAAGATATAGCTCAAAACGAAACAGAGGAGAGAGAAAATCAGAAGAAATAAGAAGTGAAAACACAAATATATTGGAAAATGCATCATGCACAATGAGAGGAACCTGCCTTGGCAATAGATAATTCCTAGTACACAATTGAAAGTTAAAAGGTAAAACAAAGATGAAAAGGATACAAAATAACATATTATATGAGTAAATAAATCTCAATTGAATTGGTGAGAATAAAATATTAGGGATTTGTAATAACATAAACTCATGGGAAAATATCATAGGCAAAGAAAGCAAAGCAAAAAAACAAGATTTAATATTGTAAGAAGGAAACTAAACACACACACACACACAAATAAGTCTTAAATTAAAGAGTAATCCTAACAAAATGCAAACATCAGAATGAGAAAAAATAGG